TATTTTATTGGACATCAAACATATTCTGACATGAGCCGTTATCAACATGAAAACAATATACCACCAAGGAAACAAAACATTGTCTGGTAAGATCATTAATCAACATTAACAATTGCTTTATCCACATATGACAGGAATAGATATAATCGAGAACGTTCACAACTTAAATGTGATAAAAATGAAACACCAAAACTGTCACCATGCCCGTTTATGCTGAAGGCGCGTCTCGTGATAAAAAGATTTGTTTTTTTATGTACAATATTAATGAGTTTTGCACCATAACGTTAAATACTAAGACCTAAACAACATTTTTATAATAGATATGGGTGAATGAATGAATGGTGTAAATGGAGAATTTAATTCATCTTCTACCCTTCTTTCAAAATTTACATTAATGCATTTAATAGTAAACAAATAAATCAATGTTGTATTTCAAATGTCAAACAATCTACATATGCCGTTAACCCGTTTCGACCTTTGTCCGTAATCAAGTCCAATATATTCAATTACAAGAAAAGCATTGATGCAAAGCATCAAAGGGCGTCCAAACAAGAAATGCAGCAAGTGAAGATGAACTAGTAGACATATGATGACAAGATATTCTTATAAACTACCAGAATTGTATATCATTTATGAATGAGCGGACGAAAGACATTGTTCATTATGAACTTTGATTGGCATGCTAGAGATTAGAATATTACTTGTTATTTCTTTATGATCGTGGTTATTAATAGCAACGGATATACATGTATACAATCATTTATAATTCATATGTGTAACGCATGATCAACACGTACCACACTCGTGTAATTGTCCCTTATTATATTATCGCTATTAGCGAAGATCCCCTCTTAAGATATCTGTTCACACTTAGTAAAAATATGCCACTGCATATTACCATGTTGATCATGTTGAGCATAATTGTTTATTATACAATAATTGTAATATCTATTAATTCTAATAAAAAAAATACAAAATCTATGAATATTGTTTTCTTTTCTTTTTTGTGTTTTATGTGCTATTTTAATACTGAGTTTTTATGTTAACTACTTTTTTTTATCAAAATTGTAAAATAAATTTTAAGAATTCAATTGTCATATTGACCGACGATTATAAGTCAAAACTTACTGGAAAAAGTCAGTAAATTATGGTTAATCTTTCAATATATAATATTGTTTATTCTTAAACCATGTACATGTACATTTGTATTTTTCTTTATCATTTTTAAAATTATCAATCAATTGAATAATTCATAAAATCTAATTTGCATCTTTACTAAACACGAAAAACAAATTAAATAAAATGTTTCAAAATTGATAATGTCATATTAATACCATAAAAATGTACCTTTTTCTCAATTATTGTACATATTTATTGTTTTTATCTCATATAGATAAAATGAAACATGCTATTGTTGTTGTTGTTGTTTTTTTTTTTGTTTTGTTTTTTCTAATTATAACGATGAAAATAGACCGGAAGAGACCGGGAATTACCGATAGGAGTGATAAATAGATATATCTATAAACAGATTTTCGGAATATTAAGGTCATCTACTGATCATTCTAGGATACATGTTCAACAATAACATACCATGATAACCCACTGTGTACTACAAAATGATAAATAAAAAAACCCCGAAGAGCGCGATTTATTGACGGAAAAGGTTATTTCTTTTTTTGAAAATGTTTGCATTGCGAAATTCTCCAGTTCGCTATTCATTGTAACATATCGCGACATTTCGTTCTTAATTAATAATCAAGCACCCTCATACCGAACGGAATGATCGGCTTTTATTATGACCGACTAAAAGGCTCGAGAAGTTGCTGTCGCCCTTTTCATTCCATAATAGGCGCCGCGCTTCGGCGCGGACGCCAATAACATTGACTGTTAAAATAATAAACTACCTCTGTTCATGTCTTCATAATGATGTCGATGCCGCATTTATAAACATATCAAAAGTACCTTATCAAACAACGCTAAAGAACATTCCATGTGTAAAATAGAGAAACTGAATCCCTTAAGAACGCCCAAAATAACAAAATTGAAAATGTTGCAGACTCGGTTTTATAGAGCCTGTTCATGGACGGTACTGGAAAGTGCAAGTTACCATGTTACTAAGTTAACCATGTTTATCAAAACAAAAATGTATAATTAAGTATTTCATTAAGGATAATATCATTCTTAAAGTGTAAAATTATCGCAAGTTGTCACAGCTTAAGAAAGGATACAAGAAATGCCTTATTATCATAAAGACAATTTGTTAAATTTCAATGTTATAGTAACACCAATACTCAGGTTATGTACGTGCGTGCCCTTGACGAAAAAAAAACAGCAACTAACGTCATAAAGTTTGCGTTTCATAAACGATTAAAATAATTATGAAATAATTTTATTTTCACAACTTTCCGCAGTTGATGCATTCTGTGCTTCCTGTATGTAAACATTCCCTTTTTAAGTTATTGTTTTGTTATTTGTAAACATTTTGTTATCTCTGCATTATGACTATCAAATTAAATTGTTTTGTACGTAAATAAGTACGCAATTTTTACCTAACAGGATAACACTACATAGATTGAATACGATATGCTGAACGTAATGATATAAAGTATTGAATTATGGTAATCTTCCGTGACTTTAAAAATGAAATTAGATAGTGGTTAAATTAAACAGTAAAGCTATTTCAAAATATCATGAATTCATTTTGGGGTGTTGTTGTTTTTCTGTGTTTGTTTGTTTGTTTTTTTATCAAGTATTGCACGTATAATGATCAACTTTTATTTATTTAAAGTTGTCATATATAATTGAGCCGCGCCATGACAAAAAAAACATAATGGGTTTGCGACCAGCATGGATCCAGATCCGCGCAGTCTGATCAGGATCCATGCTGTTCGCTATCAGTTTCTCTACTTGTTATAGGGTTTGTAAGCGAACAGCATGGATCCTGATCAGACTGCACGGATGCGCAGGCTGGTCTGGATCCATGCTGGTTGCAAACCCATTATGTTGGTTTCGTCATGGCGCGGCTCAATTATTATTAAGACGTATAACCAGAGTTTCTGAATGAAAAACTTAAAAAAATATTACTTTTTCCTACCTTTTACCTTCCACATTTACTTATGCCATTCATTATACTTTTTAGTTTACTCACTAAAGGTATGTAAAATGGTTATCTGAGAGTTTGCTTCCTTAACTTGTCAAACATGGTTGTAAGGTTTAGACCAATACGTCTTTTTGCTAGGAGACAAGTACTCAATATAAGTTCAAAGGGTCATTATAATATTTCACTTTGTGACAATGATGCGTCTAAATCGAGTTAATACTATTGACATTGGAATTATATTCTAAAACAGGAAACTACATTCTATTTCTATCTAGCCTAGAATTAATGTTTTATTCTTTTTTTAGAATATAAGATTGCCGTATTATTTTTGTAGCAAAGGAAAACGTTCTTGATACGTAATGAAAGATTATTGAGAATTTTTGTTTCAAAGCATGTAAGTGCAGCCATTAAAACCACACTGATAATAAGATTTTAAATCTTGTAAGGACAGTTTTCAGTTATGAGAGCACTCATTTATCAACATTCCTATCAACTAACATTTTAAAGGGAAGATAAATGTTGTTCAAAATTAATCTTTCTTTCTTAGGGGCATAACAATCGTTTATAAAAGTTTGCTGCATGTTTTACCCAATATATTTATGTTGTTATATTGTACTTTTAGTAAAACATTCTGTACTTTAAGAAATTTTTTTTTGTTGTACTTTAAGATATGTCATGCTGTACTTTAAAATATAACATGTTGTACTTTAAGATATATCATGTTGTACTTTAAGATAAGTTGTTATGTAGTACTTTAAGATATGTCATGTTGTACTTTAAGATATATCATGTTGTACTTTAAGATATATCATGTTGTACTTTAAGATATATCATGTTGTACTTTAAGATATATCATGTTGTACTTTAAGATATATCATGTTGTACTTTAAGATATATCATGTTGTACTTTAAGATATATCATGCTGTACTTTAAGATATATCATGTTTTACTTTAAGATATGATGTTATGTTGTACTTTAACATATATCATGTTGTACTTTAAGATTTTTCATACTGTACTTTAAGATATGTTGTTATACGCTCCAGATTCATGTTAATTTTCATGAAAGTTTGGAAATGTATTTAAAAGTTAAGTATTGTGAGGTGAACAAATAAAGTAATTTACATATTGCAATTGACACCTACAATCCAATAAAATTACCAAAAATTCGTCAACATATGCAAAAATTACTCTTACTGCGTTAGTAACGCAGTAGAAATATGGTTTTGAAATACTGCAAAATTCAGTCTTATAACTTGGTTCTTGAATGTTAATTCCTTTCTTAAAATTTTATTACATTTTTCTCAATATTGATTTTCTTGAAATATTATGGCTCATCTGGAGGCGTGCAGCCTCAAGATATTTTATTATGTTTTATTTTAAGATATGTTGATGTGTTGTCCTTTAAGATTGATTTTCCTTTTTATTATCTATCTATACTGCACACCAAATAATCACTGTTGTTCACATCAGTGGTGATGATGATGTTTCTATCGATAAGAAGCAATTTAATAAACTTCTATTAGTTTAGAAATAACCAAAATCGGTTTAAACCCAATTTATTATTCATTTTGATATTAAAACATCTGTTAATGAGTTAGTTGTACGAAGATGATAATGCATGTGTCATGTGCAAATATTTCAGATTTGCTTTCTTCGATTTTTGTGTTGTACCAAAAGAGACACCTTACTTATAAACAGCTCACAGCAGCCTTCCTAGCTCAGATTTTGTTGTTTTTCCTCGATCACTTAGGTTCATGTTGAACTTGAAATAAGTATTTGTGCAGCGTATATTATGTATACAGTATATTGTTTTCACTCCCTCAAGGATATACGCCATTTCTCCATGTCACAAGTACATTCGTAACAACAAAAACTATCCTTGAGATCACGGATATATAACTTTATCAATATTTTCTCATTTAAATCAATCACATCTTAATAATAAACACTCGACAAAACACTTCTGATTTTCCGGATTAATTGTTATTAAAAAGCCATTAAACGAAGTTTCATTCATTTATTGTAAAGTGCAGCTATATAGAAGTAATATGGTAGGTTTACTTTCGTATTAAATTAACCGTTTATGTAATGAATATTTTTGAGAAGTCATTTTTTTTAGCATGGAATTTTATGTATACATAATTTATTATTCATCTGTAATATAAAACAACAATCTTATTTCAAATATGATTCTCTCATTCACAGGGGAAAGGATTATTGATTCAACTGATATGTTGTTTTGGTACAAGTCTGGCTTTGAAGTCATGGCAAATTCCAGACGTGGGTTTGCGTGCCCTAGTAGCAAGCAGTATGGATGACAAATGGATTAAGTTCAAGACTATGTATAATAAAACTTACTTAGATGAACAGGATGAATTAACGAGGTAAATTTGTTAAAGTTTGTCAATATTCAAAGGAAAAATAAACAAATAAAAAAACAAATTAAACAGGTCTAAATATCGCACATATAATTACAAAAGAGAAACAATGAAAACTTACAGAATTTGCATTGAATAGTAACAAACAAGGATATCGATGAAAATTGTTATTCATATTATATTAAGTCAATAAAAGAGCATTGAAACAAAAGGGTAAACTAGGGAGTGTGAAAATGCGGCATTTTTATGGAGTCGCCAAAACTTAAACTAGATTTTATAACAAATGAAACCCGTTTTCGATTTTAGATTCTGAAAGTTTTATTACTAAGACTTAGCTGAACAATAAACTTAATGTGAAAATTGTGATTTGGATCACAAGGTATGAAATATGACATATGAAAAATTCACATTATATTGTGAAGATTTGTACGTATTTAATAATAAGATACCTATTTTTTTAAACGTGTGACGATTTCGAATGCATGAATTTTTAAGCTCAACCATCCGGTGTGATAGAGGTTGTAGGTGGCTGCGTTCTGTAAATGTCCTGTATACTCGTATTTTTCTATTTATTTTGCAGACGCTTATACTGGGAAGACACTGTTCGTTTTATACGGATGCATAATCTTAAGTTTGACCTTGGAGAAGTTACATATAGTCTGGGGGAAAATGAATTTGCTGATCTTGTATGTATATTATGTTGTTTTTTTCTTTTATTGTTTTTTTTTGTGTGTTTTGTTTTCTTCTTTTTTGTTGTTGTTGTTGTTTTTGTGGTGTTGTTGATTTTGTTGGGGGGGGGGTGGCTTTTTAGGGGATGTGTATATCTTCAACTTGGAATTGTTTATGCCACATGGGAGCCATGCTTATGCTATTTATGCAGCTATTCTATTTAAAAAAATCAGAAATAAACTCAGTTTAAGCATTTAAATAGTGAAAATGGAAACCTTGATGGTCGCCTACAGGGGCATATCAAAAATGTTGCTGACCTGTGGTTTTGTCAGCTTTCTAAATTTGAACAGTTTAGTTGCATTTTTCATGAAAGGCAGATAATCACGCGAGCTACTTTTAGCACCAACCTAAACATTTTTTTAATATTCCTGAATGAAATGGCTAAAACGTACAAGTTATTAACATTATAATGCACAGTTGTGTTCGTACGGCGGTAATCACGCAACTTTAATATCAGACCTAAGTATAAATAACAATATCTTACATACATTTTACTTATATCATGATAATTATATTAAATAGGCAGAGGATGAGTTTGAAAATATATACATGAAGAAAACGACTACAAAGGATCATGAAGATGATGAAAAACTTTTATACTTGCCTGACAATTTAACAAAGAAGAGGGTTGACTGGAGAGGACATGGACTTGTGACTCCTGTAAAATCCGAGGTAAAAGAACTTTAAAGTGAAAATATGCTCATGTTTTCGCTGTCGTGTTGAATTGAATAAGTTACATATTTAAATAGATTGACTTGACAAAAGATTGATAATAAAAATGTTTATTATATTATACAAAAACGACATATGAGCCGTGTCACGGCAAAATCAACATAATGGGTTTGCGACCAGCATGGATCCAGACCAGACTGCGCATCCATGCTGTTCGCTATCAGTTTCTCTACTTGTTATAGGGTTTGTAGGGATGCGTAGGCTGGTCTGGATCCATGCTGGTCAAACCCATTATGTTGGTTTTGTCGTGACACGGCTCAATTATATATATATTTAAAAAAGAGACCGCCTCACTCTTTTTTAAGAATTGAACGTCCATCAATACATTGTGAACGATAAGTATAGGAATTACCGTTGGCCACATTGATTTTTGATTGTTTTTACACATTTAAATAAAAAATTGAACACAATTTTGGCAAAATGTCACGTTATTATGTTTTAACCCTGTTCACTGACCATTTACACTTCGATGGGCATAACGTTACTTCAAGATTGCGTTTTAAAACATACTGGCACTGTAAATGTTGTCAAATAGCGACTTTTAAAGGCATTGTCTTATCGCGTTCTTGCGGATGAGGATAGTTTCCTCACAAGTAGAAATCGCGTCTGGCAGGACCCATTTAGTTGAGTCTTTAATTTAACTGATTACCAGGACATTTTCTGGTATCCTTATGACAATATATTTCCTCGTTAAACTTCTTGAGATATATCGTCACAACGCCTCTGATGTTAAAAAATAAGAATAAAGATCAACAAGGCAAATCATAATTTGATGGTACCAATTTGTTATTCTGTTTAAAGCTCGCAGTTTAACAATAATGTAAAGATGATTATAAAAATTATAACTATAGATATACTGGTGTAACAATATTTCAGGGGAGATTCCCGAGTAGTTGGATCATAGCCCCTCTCGAATCTCTTGAAGGTGTATATAAGAAGACAAAGGGAGGTAAATTACAGAGTTTATCTGTTCAAAATGTGATGGACTGCTGCAAAAGTAAGTTAATGTACTCATCTATTGTTTAATTGTATTGCTTATTTCCGTTTAAATAAGTGTCATCATCATTATTTATTGAATACTTAAAAGTATGAATATAGTTGCTTAAATCTTTGTGAGGTTTGCCGAGATAGTAATTCTAAAATGATAAAAGTGCAAAGATTAAAAAGGATGTCTACAAGGAACGCGGCCCCTTAAAAACTACCAACAAAGGACGACCGGAAAGAACTCGCGTAACCCTTTCATTGATTTAAATCTGCATGTCTCCATCTGTGCCAAAATACTTAAAGAAATTCATCTTTGAGAAAAACGTACTAATATTTATTTCTTTTTTTAAAGAAAAAGTAAAAATATTCACAAATGAATACATAGTTTAATGTTATATGCAAAAAAACGACTGATTTTCCAGTAGTTATCACCATATTTCTACTGCGTGATTAATGCAGTAAGCGCTCATTTTGACATATTCTGACCTATTTTTTTGGGCAATTTTTGTAAACATTAAGTGCCGTTTGGAATGTAAAAATATTTTCACTTTGTTCGTTTGACGATATTTTACTTTCAAAACATTTGTAACATTTTCATGAAAATTAGCATGAAAATAAGCATTTTAAACCGTGTTTGAACATTTAGGTGTGTTTTCCTTTTGTATTGTACAAAAATTGATTTTGAAATACATTTGTGTGAAATTTTATGAAACCATAATTTATGTAACAATGCTTAAACATTTTCCTGAAAGATGTGAGCTTTAGAGAAGGTCAAGCAGCTGATGTGTATCGGTATATTATCAACAATGGCGGTATCGATGGTGACACGTGTTATCGTGCTGAGGCACCAAAGGGAAAGTTTGATATAACTCAATCTGCATCGGTTCGTTACTTTGTATTATAATATACATCGTCGTGTAACTATATGCTTACAATTATAATCCAAGACTTAAACACATTGTAACCGAAACAAATAGCTTGCAAATGTATAAGAAATATAAATGAGCCGCGTCACGACAAAACCAACATAGTGCGTTTGCGACCAGCATGGATTCAGACCAGTCTGCGCCTCCGCGCAGTCTGATCAGGATCCATGCTGTTCGCTATCAGTTTCCCTACTTGTAATAGAGTTGTAAAGCGAATTGCATGGATCCTGATCAGACTGTACGGTTGCGCAGGCTGGTCTGGATTCATGCTGGTCGCAAACATACTATGTTGGTTTGTCGTGACGCGGCTCAAATAAAGATTATCATATTCATATTTCTGATGCTTTGATTTGTCATTAATACTCCTTGGGTGTGATATGCTACTTACATGCTTTATTGATAGTATTAGATTGTTCAATCTCAAGAAATTACGTCCCTAAAATAAATGCTCGTTATATCACAAAAAGCACGTGAATGAATATAGTTCCATGCATAAATGTGAATGTTGAATAAACAACATGGGTAATTTGGCTATTTCATAAAACAGGAGGGAAAGCAGTCAATATATTCAGACTAAGGATTGGTCACTGGAAATAACATACATAAATTATACTTGCGAGAGGTTTTGTTAAGTTCACTTATTTTTCCAAATATCTTATCGTTTTTCCTAAAATATCTTGGGGGTGGGTTACACTTCTCATATACAATGCGTATAGACATAAATATAGACAAATTATCTGTATATAGAAATTTCGGTTGTCATTCTCCAATTGTTTTGCTAACAGACATATCACGCCAGGTCAAGATGTTTCATCATAACAGTCTCCTCATTATAACTATCACTATATGTTACTGCTGTATAGGATAATAATAAGACAACTTTAAAGGTTTATACCTATATTATAAATGCTCTATGAAGTATAGAGCTTAAAACTAAGCATTTGATCATTTGTTTCAGAATCTAAATTGTCACTACACAGAACGCTGTAAAGCTGCAACTTGTACCGGCTATAGAACAGTGAATAAAGATGAACGCTCACTTGCTGATGCCGTGGCTTCTGTAGGACCGGTTGCTATAGCAATGGACGTCAACGACCGCAAATTCTGGTATCGTATACTTTACGTTTAACACATAAAATAAATAGAAAACTGCTTTTAGAATTTAAAACTTTAAAAAATCTAATTTACTTTCCTACGTTAAAATTTAAAATAAATATTTTTGTGCCGATAGAAGTGCACTGAAAGTGTAAGAAAATAGAAATAAGTTTTTGTGCACTAGTTTTGTGTTGCTTAAATATTCCGTCTTTATGTCACATAAAATCACTTGCTTGTATTTCAGGTTCTACAGGAAAGGTATTTACTATTCTTCAAGTTGTAGTAGAACAAGACTTAATCACGACATGCTTGTTGTCGGCTATGGATCCATTCGAAATAGAAGAGAATACTGGATCATCAAAAATAGGTAATTTGTAGTATGATTTATGTAAAGATATCCTTAGCATTTTATTGAATTGGTTAATGTTTAGTTAAATAAGGTTTTGCTATATTAACTATATGTAGCTGGATCACACAATACATGTAGAATATAATTTAACTTTAAAAACTATTTATAGACAAAACTTGAAACATACCTGCAATGTTTGTTGTAATTGCACTTATAACTATAGTTTTAGAATCAAGTGAGACATTAAAGAATTATGATTTATTGGAATGTTTAGTTTAGGTTCAACTTTTATTTTACAGTTGGGGTGAAAGCTGGGGAGACAGAGGCTATGTTTATACCGCTAGAAACAGAAACAACATGTGCGGAATAGCTAGTTCGGCTACTTATCCGACTGTATAATTTCGACATGTTTTTTAAACAATAACTTGTAACAAATTTTAAGTATTTTGCTGCAATGATGTTTTATGTAAAATTGTTTTAGAAAACAAACGACTATTGGGGTTGGCGTTATCATTGTCGTAAACACTGATGGTATGGGAAGTTACATACAATAAACATAATAATATAATTACATATGATATATATGATAATTTTTTTATTAAAATCTTTTCAAATTAAAAGCGAAAGGAAATGGGTTCTGTTGATAACGGTATCTGCTTTATATTGTTCAAGTCAAATACGAGACACGATCATGTTTCTTTACACTTGTTAGTTTCAGAAATAGAACTCAATCAGGTTCAAGTCAGTTTCAATCATATTATAATCAGTTGTTAAACATGAATTTCTCTACACGTTTTTGACAGTATACCTGTATATGGAAGTCTGGGTAATAAACAGACACACTTCAACACTGTTCTATCATTAAGTAAGTTATTAAACCATCAACATGCATCAAAACATAAATAAAGCTACTACAGCGGAACCATAAGCAAAAAATGTCAAAACGGAAATCCGAACCTTTCCAAATAGTTCCCATAAAGAAACTCCAGAATGGAAACAGCAGATTCTCGTGGAAGAACTCAGACAATTGACCACTTTAGGTTGAACATACCGAATCCATTTAACTTCTCCATTTCCACCAACCATAGCCACAGACCCAAGTGCAAGTTTTCTTTGATGAACATAAACACATCTATGCAGACAAGGAACAGATCATTTACATGTGACACATGGGATGTATTATTAAAAGTCAGAAACTTGAAATTTGTAACTGTTCAAGTGAAAAATAATTGTGCTTCTAGCCTAGAAAGGATTCTTTAGCTTCATTTTTAAGTAACATGCATCATTTTGAACACAACATTTTTAGAACTTTAGTAACATTGATACTGAAATATATCCTGCTCATGGTCTCAAAAGACCGAAACAGATAGCTCATTGATTAAACAGTTTATAAACCACTCTGATGTGTTATGTTTATTTTCGCCTCCCCTGTGCTACTTTTTAGCTCGACTATACGAAGTATATGGAGAGCTGTCCTACTCGCCCCGGCGTCGGCGTCGGCGTCCGCGTCCGCGTCCAGATTTTAGATTTAAGTTTTGGTGCAGTAAAATATTTTTCACTATAACTTTGTCATTTCTTAAGGTATCAACTTCAAACTTCAAATATATGTTCCTTATCATCAACAACATCTTATGTGACAAGGTTCATAACTCTAGCACCAATATTTTTAGATTTATCTCCCCTTGAACTTAGAATTTTCCATAAAAATACTATTTTTTACTGTTACTTCTTTATTTCTTAAGGGATCAACCTCATACTTCAAATATATGTACCTTATCATCATCCCCATCTTATGTGACAAGGTTCATAACTCTAGCACCAATATTTTCAGATTTATCTCCCCTTGAACTTAGAATTTTCCTCAAAAAATGCTATTTCTTACTGTTTCTTCTTTATTTCTTAAGGGATCAACCTCATACTTCAAATATATTTACGTTATCATCATCCCCATCTTATGTGACAAGGTTCATAACTCTAGCACCAATATTTTCAGATTTATCTCCTTTTGAACTTAGAATTTTCCATAAAAAATATTATTTTTTACTGTTACTTATTTATTTCTAAAGGGATCAACTTCATACTTCAAATTTATTTACGTTATCATCATCCACATCTTATGTGACAAGGTTCATAACTCTAGCACCAATATTGCAAGAATTATCTCCCCATAAACTTAGATTTTTTTACTAGAAAAATGTTAGTTTTTATTATAACTTTTTTATTTTTAAAGGTATCTACCTCAAACTTCAAATACTTATTCCTTATCATCAATTACATTTTATGTGACAATGTTCATAACTCTTGAAGCAATATTTACAGATTTTTCTCTCTTTGAACTTAGGATTTTCTTTAAGAAATATAATAACTTCTTTACTTTTTAAGGTATCTACTTCAAACTTCAAATATATATTTCTTATCATTACACAAATGTTGTGTGACAAGGTCCAAGCATGACTATTTCAAGAATTATTTCCCTTGATCTTGGAATTTATGTTAACAAATGTTATTTTTTTACTATAACTTAATACATAATTATACATAATTGATTTTTCTTTCGTATTTTGTCCTCCTTACTGCGTCCAGTATTTTATTAGTCGAGCTTCGCTGTCTCCTGTGACAGCTCTTGTTTAAATTATGGTTTGTTTACTAATAAAATAGAGGAAATAAGAATCCCTAAAGAACGTCCAACACGACAAAATTGAAAATCTTGCAGGCTCGGTTTGATTGTGCCTAATCATGGACGGTACTGTCAAGTGTAAACTACCGTCCATGCCCCTAGCACCGGTTTAAGCAGAATTCAACATTTAACATGAACTGGTACAATTTTGAATTTTGAAACATCCGCAGATGTGTTCATATGGCGGTTATCATGGAACCTTCAATGTTACACGTAAGTGCCATTCCATGAAAAGTGGTCCCAAATAAAAAAATGCGTGTGCCCTAACCAAGAAAACAATGGGCGGAACTAAATCAAATGGAATTTTGAAAGGGGATCAGAGGTTATGGAGCCTGCATATCACAGATCAGACGTCAAACGACAGATTTAAGCAGGCCGTATATCCTAAGGGTGATGCAACAGTATTCAAGTGAAGAATACTGGAACCACCCAACAAGAAAATAGCTGAATAGAAAGAACTAAATTACCACAAGCACAACAATAATGTCGTGCTGAACGATCTTTAAGGATCGGAAATATAAAATCTCTGAACAAAACTTACTTCAAACACTATAAAAGTGCTAAGGCGATATGAGTAGCAATTAACGAATATTTCATGAACAAATGTAATTCGCTCTTGGAAACAGAAATGTCAGTATGAATTACTAAATTAGCACACTATATTATTAATGGTTATTTGATCTTTTTGGTAATTATTTTAAGTGAATGTTTTATGTGTCTTTTTCCTAACCTTGCCGTAATTTTTTTTCGTCAAATCAAACACTAGCATGGTATTCTCAATTTTTTTATATAACATGTTTTTGATGTTATAAGTATACATGTAGCAGATATGTGCAGCGGCCTTGACTTTGATAAAAGTGCAACTTGCTACTAGGTTGGGATACAGCCTAATAAAAGAGTTTATCATTTAACATATATTATGTACCTTTATACACTTTAAACTGAAAAGATAACATTTACTTGAATCCATTAACGTTACTTTATTACATGTACTTTCTGAATGTTAAAATAGAAAATCAAGTTTGAGTATTATCAAATTAGTTGTCGAATGTGATTGCGGCGAGTTGTTATTATAAACCTTTATCTCGGGGCAGTTGTACTCGTGAAAAACTGCCTCCTCATGATCCTTTTAACAAACACTTACATAAATCCACTTTATTTAACTAGCATTCCTAAGGCGTAATATCGGTATTGACCACTGCTTGCTGATTAGTATGTTGGTGCAAATACTTCACATGTAAATTATATATGGTTATCTAATTAGACCTTTCTGTAAATATCAAGAACAGATACTTTTAATTTAGATAAACTTACGTGTTTTAGAACATATAAATACACGTAACGTCAAAATTCTAAAGTGACATTAGTATTCTTTCAATTCAAAAATGATTTATATATCGCTGTAAGCTTTTAGTTGATTTATTTTTTAAGATTTGTTGCATAGTTTTCCAAGTGATTTTGTAAGTGACTACACATGCCAGATAAGTCAGTTACTATAGATAACTACATCCTATCCCTGTGGTACGAGAGATATTGAGTACGGGTCTGTTAGTTACGGAACAGTTCGGACACCGAAACTGGCCATGGTAAAACCAAATTCCATAACGAGGCTTTCGAGAACAGTCGTGCTGACTACATTCCGAAGACGTCTAATAAGCATAAACTCGAGGAACAACGGGTTCACGAGGGATCACTGGTTAAGCCATTGTTTCAAGACTCCTTTGCGTAAGGGTAAGTGCTATATCCCTAAGAAGCAAGCAAACCTTGAATGAACTATTGACATATATTTATAGGCGAGAATGTTTTCAATAAGTAAAGTTTTCAATATACATGTATATATTACTCAACTTTTGCTAAGCACCATCTGTTTGAGTGTGAATATATTTTGGGGTAATTTTATAAACGCCGTGCGAAAGGTTTGAAATGTTGATTTACTGTTTTAACAATTCAGCTGAAGGACGAATTTAACCCTATAAATCAGTTTTACACTGATTGTTTTGTGCTAGAGAAGAGGATGACCCCCTCTTTGAAGATTTCAGAACATGCAGCGTGTTTTTCGACCTCCAGCATGCCATCTGACGGGTGTACCATGTAAGCGGTATCTCTCACAAGCTCTGGTGATGACCATGTGGTGTACACCAAGCGCTGCACCAACCTTGCGGAGGGTGGACCTCTGCTGCACTATTTCCTCAGCCCTCCATATTATGCTTCTCTCAAATACCGCCTAATGTTAGCTTTCGCCATATCGAAGTGATAGATGTAAGAAATGTAAACCACTGAATGGCAATAAGCCGGTCATGTCGCCGTATAACAAAAGACATGTGATTGTACACCCCATCAAAAACATGAAAATATAGGGGTGCATGCATTCCCTGCTACCTAGACGGGTTGTAACGGATAAGTCAACACAGATTTATATCAGGGGACTATCTCAAAAAATTGCTGAATCAGAATTTTAAAAAATTTGAAAGAAATCTGTTTTATACTTGTGATAATATAAAATTAATTTATTTTTTAGCAAAAGTTGAATAAGAAAAACAAAAAAAATGTGGGTTTTTTCGGTTTTACAGCAAAGAAATTCATACATCCACAACCATTGGAATTCTTGATAAGTTACCATTCAGAATCTCGGTTCCTAGTTAATTTTTCATGGAACAAATTAAAAAACAGCAACATTAACAAATTGAATTCAACAAAACTGGCATAAAAATTATCA